GTCAGGTAATTTGATGCCTCCTACTTTGTTCTTTTTGCTGAATATTGCTTTGGCTGTTGGGGGTCTTTTGTGGTGCCATACAAATTTTAGGATTTTTTTTTCTATTTCTATGAAGAATGTCACTGGTATTTTGGTAGGGATTGCATTGAATCTGTAAATCACTCTGGGTTGTATGGTCATTTTGACAATATCAGTTCTTATGATCCATGAGCATGGGATGTCTTTCCATCTTTTTGTGTCCCCTTCAATTTCTTTCATCAGTGTTAGGTAATTTTTGTGGTAGAGGTCTTTTACTTCCTTGGTTAAATTTATTCCTAGGTTTTTTTTTGTAGCTAAATGGCATTTTTTTTGGATGTTTTTCCAGCTAGTTCATTATCGATGTATAGAAACACCACTGATTTTTATATGTTGATTTTGTATCCTTCAACTTTATTGAATTCCTTTATCCATTCTAAGAGTTTTGGTGGAGTCTTTAGGTTTTTCTCTATAGAAGATTTTTATCCACAAGGAGGGACAATTTGACTTCCTCTTTTTAAATGTGGTTGCTATTCATTTCTTTCTTCAGTCTGTTCCATTGGTTTATGTGTGTGTTTTTAATAACAATACCATGCTGTTTTACTATAGCCATGTATAAGAGTTCCATTTGATCCACATCATTGCCAGCACTTGTTATTATTAGCCCATTTAATTTTAGCTATTTTGGTGGGTGTGAAGTAGTATCTCAATGTAGTTTTAAGTTGCATTTCCCAAAGACGAATGTTGCTGAACACCTTTTCATTATGTTTATTGGCAATTGATGTATCTTCTCTGATGAAGAGTCCAAATTTTTTTGCTCATTTAAAAATAAAGTCATTTACTTTTTTATTATTGAATTGTTAGAGTTCACTACATATTCAGGTATTAAGTCTGGTTTCAGATATATGTTTTGCAAATCTTTTCTCACAGTGGCTTGCCTTTTCATTTTCTTAAGAGTGTCTTTTATTACAGTTTTTCTTTTTTCATGGTTTATGTGCTATTAAAGAAATGTTTGCCTAACCCAAAGTCATGAAGATTTCTCCTGCATTTTCTTCAAGAAGTTTTTTAGTTTTAGCTTTGATGTGTAGGTCTATAATCCATGTTTAGTTCAGTCTTGTGTGTAGAGTTAGGTAAGGGTCAAGTTTCATTTTTTTCCATGTGGATTTCCAAATGTTCCAGCATCATTTGTTGGTAAACTTGGTAAAAAACCAAATTGTCAACAACTTGGTGAAAAATTTGTATGGAAATTGTATTGATATTGCTATCCTTATGCCAATACCACACTATCTTGATTACTATTAAATATTTATTTATAGTAAATTTTGACATCGGGTAGTATAACCGATGTCAACTTTGTTCTTATTTTTAAAAATTGTTTTTACTATTCTGGGTCCTTTGCATTTCCATATAAATTTTAGAATCAACTTTGTCAATTTTAACAACAACAAAAAAACCTGTCAAAATTTTGACTTTAGCGATCAATCTTAGGGGAATTGGCATCCTAACAGTAATGATTCTTCCAATCTATGAACACAGTGGATCTCTCTAATTATTTAAGTCTTCTTTAATTTCTTTCAAGTGCCTTGTAGTTTTCTGTGTTCACATCTTACACCAGTTTTGTTAAATTTATTCAATTTTTAAATTCCATTGTAAATGTCTATTTTTTCAATGTCAACATCCAGTTGTTTATGTCTGGGAAATAACAATACAATGGAGACCGGCCTGGACAACATAGCGAGACCCTGTCTCTACAAAAAAATAAAAAAATTAGGTGGAGATGGTGGTGCACGCTTGTAGTCCCAGCTATTCGGGAGGCTGAGGCAGGAGGATTGCTTGAGTCCAGGAGTTCGAGGTTACAGTGAGCTATGATCACAACACTGCACTCCATCCTGGGCAATGGAGCAAGACCCTGTCTCTTAAAGAAAAATAGTTGATTTTTGTATCTTGACCTTGGATTCTGTGACCTTGACAAACTCACTTATAGTTCTAGTACCCTTTTTTTTTTTTTGAAATTCCTTAAGATTTTCCACATATACAATCATGCTATCTTTGAATAGAGTCAATTTTTATTTCTTTTTCTTGCCTTGCACTGACTAGCACCTCCAGTACAGTGTTGAGTAGAAATGGTGAGGGCCTTGTTCCTAATCCTAGGGGGAAAGCATTCAGTTTTTTCAAGTATCATGTTTATCATATTGAGGAAGTTTCCCTCTTTTTCTAGTTTGCTGAGGATTGAATAGGTGTTGAATTTTGTTCACTGTTTTTCCTGCATCCGTTGGTCACCTGGGGCCATATACTTACTTGCTTTGGCCAGCGAAATGTGAATGGAAGTCACATGCTCTTTTCTGGGCAGGAGCTTTAAAAACTAGTGTAGGATTTGCTACATTTTCTTCCCACTGCAGCAGTAATAGTAGAGGCTCCTGTTGTGATGAAACATTGAACATGAGCGTGAGCAAGAAAGGAACTTTTATTGGGCTAAGCCACAAGATTTTGGAGCTGTTTATTAGTGTATTATAATCTAATGGAGAGGCTTCTTGCCATCAAGACAAACTCCTTGCCTTCATGGAGCTCACATTCCAGTGCGAGGGAGGCAGACAAACACACACTAGAATGTCAGGTAGAGATCGGTGTGATGAAGACAATGAAGCGGATGCAGCAGGATATGGGGACAGACCATGCTTTAGTTTTAGACCGTGTTACTGGGGAAGGTCTCCTTAGATGAGGCCACAATTGAGCTGAGGCCTGAATGAAGTCAGGAAGGGAGCCACGAGGTATCTGTGTGTGGGATGGGTGTTCCAGGTAGAGGGAACAGCGGAGAACAGTCCTAAGACTCCCCTGGGCTTGGAGGGTGTGACAGAGCCCACAGCTGTCCTCCAAAACAGAAGAGAGAAGGGCACAGGCACCCAGTGACCCCTGAGGCTCAAGCCGGGGCAACAAATGACTAGTTGGCAATGGCCATGCCAGACTGCTCGGGCACCAGAGTTCTCCAAGTCCTGGAATTTTGAACGATGAGGCAGGGGGCAAAGAGGAAAGAGAGAGTGACTGAATTCTTCCTGACATTCTGGCACAGGGGCTTACTCTCCTTGACTGAACTGGAGTTTGTGAGACAGTTCATGACCATTACTTTCCTGAACGCTATTCTCCACCTTAAAACTCAGCAACTGCTTCCTACCGTCTTTAGCAAGGAGGCTGTACTCACTGGACCTTTTAGTTCACTATCCCCTCCCTCCCTTCAGAGAACCTGCTCAGCCGCACTGCAGTCCTTTCAGGGCCTTCCTAAGCCGTGTTCTCTCTGGGCTGTTGCAAAGGCTGCTCCTTCTGCTGGGAGCACTCTTCCCCCCTCTCCTGGCTGACATCCCGGGACTCAGCTTAAATTACAGGCCCCCTGCAAACCCTCCCTGAATAGCTTGGGTGCTTCTGTCAAATGCTACCTTTTCCTAACAGCAGTAATGACACCATTTTGTAGCTTTAAAAAATTATCGAATAATTCAGACACTCAAGTATAAAAATAACACAGGGTGTACTCATATACCTATTTAGCATTCAACATATTAACTGCCATCTGAGTTGTATTTAACTCACGCTAGTTTTGAGCCCGGGGCCTGGTGAAGCATGTGTAACTCACACATCTCTTCACCTTGGGAGCTGCAGAGAACTATTTTTTAAGTTGCATATAACTCATGCACAGAAAACAAAAAAAAATTTTATTTTTCATTAAATTAGAAAGGATTGTTTTATTTTCGAAGTTTTTATTCTATTTTTGTAATAAAACACCATGGCCCCAAGGAAAAAAAATTTTTTTTTTTTTTGAGACAGAGTCTCACTCTGTTGCCCGGGCTAGAGTGAGTGCCGTGGCGTCAGCCTAGCGCACAGCAACCTCACACTCCTGGGCTCAAGCGATCCTTCTGCCTCAGCCTCCCGAGTAGCTGGGACTGCAGGCATGTGCCACCATGCCCGGCTAATTTTTTTTTCTATATATTTTTAGTTGTCTGATTAATTTCTTTCTATTTTTCGTAGAGACGGGTTCTCGCTCTTGCTCAGGCTGGTCTCGAACTCCTGAGCTCAAACAATCCGCCCGCCTCGGCCTCCCAGAGAGCTAGGATAACAGGCGTGAGCCACCGGGCCCGGCCAAAAAATTTTTTTTTCTATTGCGGTAGTCAACGTGTTAAGCAAGAAAACACCGCGAATGAAGCCCACCGGGCCCTGGCGCCTAACGGTCCGCTGCCTCACTACTCCCAGCCGTTAGGTGGATTTGGTGTTTATCTTTCCACGTGTCTTTATACTTTTATTACGTATGTACATGTCCCCAAACGCCATGTAGTGTTGTTCTGCTTGGCTTTACACTTCATGTAAGTTATTACAAAGGTATTCCGCGACTTGCATCCCCCTACAGCCTTGTTTTTGGAGACTTACCCAGGTGGACTCGTGAAGCCCGAGAGCATTTCCGCTGCTGTACAGTGTACCGCAGGTTGTTACACTCAGACTGTTTACAAGTGTCTGCCACAAGCATGCAGCACATGTCCCCTCCTCCATGTGCTAGTGTCTCCGGGGGTGTAGCCGGGAGGGGATCTGCAGAGTCCTCAGTGCCTGCGCGCCCCTGGCTTCATCAGCGGTTCACAAGTGGCTCTTCAAAGTGGTGCCACGTGGTGGCCTTTAAGTCGCGTCTCTCCCTCGGGGTAGGAAACGCCCCGGGGCGGGGGCGCCGCAGGCGCTCTCGGTAGCACTGCCCAGCACCGCGGCGGAGGCGCTGGCACCCACTTGCGCGGCAGACGCTGCTCGGGGCGGCGGGGAGGGCCTGGCAGCAAGGCCCCTGGTCTGTGGGAGGCGCGCTCCGGAGGTCGCCCTTCCCAAGGACAGCGCAGCGGTTCAGAACCTGGGCTCTTCTCTCCGAGGGGCTCCCCAGGGCAGGGCCTAGACCCACCCCCGCCCGGCCCGCGCGGCCCCGCCTCCCAGCGCTGACTCCGCGGCGGCGACGCCAGCCCCGGGCGATGACGGGCGCGCGGCCGTGCGCCGCGGGGAAGCGCGTGGCGGAGCGCGGCGGCCGGGGAGCGGCGGCGGCGGCGGAGGAGGCCGGCATGCGCGGGGCGCGGGGCGGCTGCTGGGCGCTGGCCGCGCTGCTGCTCGCCGCGTCGGTGCTGAGCGCCGCGCGGTTGGTCCCTGGCGGCTCCCCGGAGCGCGGCGCCCAGGCCGCGTCCCCGCGAGGTGAGTGCGCGGCCGGCCCGCGGGGCGGGGAGGGCGCGCGCGGGCGCGGAGAGGTTCTTCGGCGCTAGTTTTTGTCCCGACCGCGCCACTGGGCGCCCGGGGACTGGGGTCTTTCGGCCTGGGCTCGTTTGCCGGTGGGGGCGGGGCGCGGGCCGTGCGGCGTCGCGGGGCCGGGGAGGGGCCGGTGCAGGGGAGGAGCCCGGACGGCGCCCGCCGGGACGACCACCCGCGGGAGGGCGCCGGCCTGTGCCCGGCTTCCCGGGGGCCATGGGCTGAGTGGCCCCGTTCCCGGGACCACCCACTCGCCGTCTGTGTAAATAGCAGAAGGCCTTTGATCCGCGGACCTGGTGCTCCACAGATGCAAAGCTGCGTAGGAGACGCGCTGGCCCAGAAAGGGATTGCTCAGACCCCGTTCCCTCCAGTCCACTGTGTGGGGCACTGCGGCAGAAACGAGGGCCTTAGCCCGAAGGGCCTTCCGACAGGACGTGGCGGCTGCAGTAATGAGATCCACGGGCCTCCTGCGGGTGGGAATCCCGGGGGGCGTGTGGCGCGGGAACGCCGCCCGGCAGGCTCGCTGCAGTCGCGGGGCACCCGGCTGGGAACCCCAAGTCGGAGATGGGCGTTTCCCGTGTGCGCCTGGATTAAACTCCCGAGTAAATGTCCGACGTGCAGTAAAAACTCAGTGGAAGGCGGAGCGCGGTGGACTGAAGTTCAATCTCGGGCGAACCTCCCCACGAACCTCCCCTAGGCGAATTTTACTTCTAAGGTGACGGAGGAGCCGCGGAGGCCGGGGTTTGCTGGAGCCCTGCAGAAACCGCAGCCGCAGAGCTGTGGTCCTTTGTGCCTCGGGTGCTTGTCTCCGCGGCTGGCCGGAGAGGCTCGCGGCTCACCCAGCACTTCCCTCACTGGCTTTGCCACCTGACTCCCTGGGGGAAATGGTGGAAAGTGCAAATTCCAGGGCCTGTCTCTAGACCCTTGGAACGAGGATCCCCAGGGCCCTAGGAGATCATTTTCCCCAGGCCCGCCCTAGAGGGTGGCTTGGTCAGGGACTGTGGGGTAGGTAAAGTGTGCAAACTCTCTCGGTCAGTAGCTGGGGAGGGTCTGTCACCTGGGAAGGTGAGAGTCACCTGCTTCTCTCCCCCTCCTTCCATCCCCTTATCTGCATCAGGATCCAGGGGTTTTGGTGTGTGTGTGAAGTTCAAACTGCCCCACCTCCCCAGTCACTTTCTTACAGGAGGAAGACACAATGAATTTTGGAAAAACATCTCAGCTGATTACATTTTGTCTTCGGCCTCCTCCCTCTAGGCCCCAATCTCGTACACTCCCTTCCTTGTGTAATTGAACCGGCACCAAGAAGTCACGTAATCTGCCCAGTCACAGCTTGTCAAGGACAGGTCCCCTCCAACTCTTTTTCTTTGTATTTTAGCACCAGTTAATGATGATACTTATATGAGGAAAAAGGGTGGTTTGTAAATAGTAATTCTATGTAATGAGGGAGAACATGCTAGTATTCTTAAGTGTTCCACTCGTAGAACCTTCAGGAAACTGAGTTAAGAGGACAGCCAGGCTTTCCATGCCACCTGGAGCCCATGTAGAGCTGGACAACTTCCTACTAAGAACTTCATATGATTTGAGGACTCAACGTTTACTTGAAAAAAAAAATTAGGTTATGTCTTTAAAGGCCAGGTGCAGTGGCTCACGCCTGTAATCCCAGCACTCTGGGAGGCTGAGGCCGGAGGATCGCTTGAGCTCAGGAGTTCCAGACTAGCCTGAGCAAGAGTGAGACCCCGTCTCTACTAAAGTAGAAAAAATTAGCCAGTGGTGGTAACCTGCACCTGGAGTCCCAGCTACTCAGGAGGCTGAGGCAGGAGGATCACTTGAGCCCAGGAGTTTGAGGTTGCAGTGAGCTTTCATGATACCACTGCACCCTAGGCTGGGTGACAGAGCAAGATTCTGTCTCAAAAAAAAAAAAAAGGGATATGTCTTTAAAAATATGCCCAACAAAGATAACTCATGACCAGAGAGCTAGATCCAGAAATTAAATATTGGGAAATGAAATAAAGGTATAACATGCAAGCAGCACATTTACCCAGCACTACTGAAAGGTGACTTTATTTGGTTTATTTCCTTACCAAGACAGTGTAGACAAGAAGAGAAAGAGGAAGTGGTTCTTTTGTAATGCTCCGTGTATTGCCCTGGTAGTTCTTAGGTCAGCTGTGTGGGAAGGTGATGGCTTTTTCCTGAAGCAGAGCGTCAGGCTTAATTTTGAGGTCATGTATGATGACTTAGTAATTGGGTCCTTTGGGTGTGTGAGTGATTACAGACTAATTTTTTTAAAAAAATACATTCAAATAACGTAAAAAAGTACAAAGAAAGATGTCAAGATCTGCTTACACTTTCATTCTCTAGTTGTGGTCTTCACCCTTGGCCGCATATTAGAATCCCCTTGGAAGATTTGGTGTTGTTTGGGGGAAATTTTAAAAATCATGCTGATTGGGCAGAGATTCTAATTTAATTAAATTCTGAAGTGGGGTCTGAAGTGGGGCCAGGACATTGGTGTGTTTTGTTGTTGTTTTAAGCTGCTTGGGTAATTCTGATGTTGAGGTAGGACTGAGTCCCTCTGTACCCTCCAAATAATATAATTAGTAATGATGACAATTAAGAGCTTTCAGAGTCTCAAATTGATGTGAAAAAATCTAAGCATAAAACAAGAACTTTACCCCACCCACCACTAAAGACTCTTAGAAATATGAGTAAAAACAGTAGTTATTTCAGCTATGAAGGATGATTATGGATAGAAAAATTACAAAGGAAAAGGTCAATAGATAGGGACTATACATTTGAAAATGGAAACCATCAAAACTGAACAAGGGAAATGAAAAAGAAATATCTTAAAACAATTATGACAAATGATGTAATGTCTTTGCTATGTATAGAAATTATACAAATATCTAATAAGATCTCAGGGGTTAAGTGGTTAAATAAATATATATTCCACAAATTCACATGGAAGGAAAATACTGATGGTAAACATTTGGAAAACATCTTCAAACTTGATAATCACTAACTCAAAACTAAAATAATAAGGAAGTGCTATTTTCTATGCGTCAGTCTAAAAAATGAGGAAAAAATTAAAAGGCCAATCAAGCTGGTAGGGAGCTTAGTTTTGGAAGACTGGGAACCTAGAGGTTAGGTGCACGACTACACTGACCTCAGTTTAAATCCTGGCTGCTGGTAGGTGACCTTAGGCAAGTTGCTTTTGACCTCTGTAGGCCTCAGATTCTTCATCCCCAAATGGAGGGGCCTGGTACGTGCTGAGTGTGTGGTTCTTTTTATTACCTGGGAGTCCATAATCTCTACAGCTGTCATTATAAATCAGCACAGCAAAATTGGGGAGGAGTTTCACAATACATAGCAGCAGCTATTAAAAAGGCTATTTTTGTTTAACAGTTTTACTCCTGGAAGTTCATTCTTAAGGAATTTTGTCAAAAGAAGAATATATTAATTTTCAGATAGATACAATATAGCATCATTTCTTATAAGAAAAAGAAATAGGATATAGGGAGAAATTGGAAATAAGGTTAAATAAAAAAGAAGAAACAACTTTTAAAAATATTTAGCTGGGCGTTCCTATCCCTAAAGAGGCTCCTGTTGAAGTCCACAGTGGTCAGGTGTGGCCTGGATCTTTGTAATGAGCTGTTCAGCACTCGTTTCAGGTTCTGTGCCAAGCTGTACATACATTGTCACGTTTAGCTTTCCCAACAGTCCTATGAAGCATACACTCTTATGACCCCTGATTTATTGATGCGGAAACTGAGGCAGGATGGGATTCAGCTTCAAGTTAGTTTAACCTGCAGTCCACACATTTAACCCACCATGTTATACTCTGGGTCCCAGACACCGCTTCCACCAAAAGCTTCCCCGGAGACCAAAGAACAGAAAAAATTTTATTTAGCCTTGAGAAGAGAAAGCTTTAGTGGGTTATTCAGAGTTATATATTAATACTACGTGTTTTGTCTTCCCTTATAATTAAATAAGGGTAAATTAAGATAAACTTAAAAATGAGGGATTTGGGCTGGTAAAGTGAAGAATTCCTGATTTAACCATTCAGATGAGTTACTGGGGAGCCCAGAGGAAGCTTTCATATTACAAAATAAGACCCAATTCTTAGCTTCCTAGTTGCGTTATTAAAAGGTTTCCTTTTTTTTGTCTAGACGGTAAATTTAGATGGTAAATTAATTTCTCTTTTATATGATGTCAGTATAAATGGCCCAGTTGGTTTAAATGGATCACTTTGCTTTAACTTTATGCACAATAGCAGTTCACTTTGTTTCCTACCAAATTGGCAGACAAAATTTTAGAATATGCGTCATGTTTATGTCACCCTAAGAACATCATCTAGTGAACTGGTGAGCTGTGCGCCCAGTGAACATGGGACCGTAGGTCTCTCTGCCCCTCCCCCTGCGGCTGACCCTGCAACTCTCTCCTGGCCACGCCCACTCTGCGCGGCCTCCAGGAGACGGGCTCAGAGCGCAGGCGGGGAGGCGGCGCGGCGGGCGAGAGGCTGGGCTTTGGAATCCGCAGATGGGCTTCACATCAGTGGTTTCATGGAGGAACTCTGTGGTCATGGGCCATTATCTAATTCTCGTGAGGCTTAATTTAATCTGTAAAAGGAAGAAAACACCTAGCTCCTGAGGAAACCACTGCTATTACACGGATCCGCTAAATCGCGCGCCGCGTCTCACCACCGGGTGAAGACAGGTTCCTGGCGCCGCGCTTTTGCACACTGGATGTGAACGCTGTTGACCGAATGTCTTTTTGTAATAGAGGCATCTGTGCACAAGGGCACCTGTCTGTGTGTGTTCGTGCACACAGGTACATCTGCGTGTACACGGAGCAAGTATGCAAGACCCTAGAAACCCTAGAGCTCAGGCATTTGGAAAGCACTTCTGTGGAGCCAGGGTCGGCACAAATGTACTTTGTCTTTAACGCGTCTTTCAGGCACCTTGTTTTTCTGTGTTTTTTTTTTTTTTTTTTATACTTTTCTTTCTAATTCTTAGCAGATTTAGACAAAAAAAGGCCTGCGGAGCTGAAGATGGATCAGGCTTTGCTGCTCATCCACAACGAACTACTCGGGACAAACTTGACTGTCTACTGGAAATCGGAATGGTGCTATCAGGTGTGTGTTATGCTCAGACTCGATTTTGTTTGCGTTGGGGCTTGTTTGATATGATCCTTACTGCTCTGATATCTAAAGCTCTCACATGTTAACTTCAGTTTTATAGGTAAGGAAACAAGCTATGTAAAGAATTAGAAGAAATATGATCAGGGAGAACGCCTGGCGATGAGCAGCATCCATTTCTTATCTTTTCTCCTACCGGTCTTTTTAAAAATCAGTTGTTGGTGATGAACAAAACTGGTAGACCATTTTTTATTTTCCTCCTCTGGCTCATGCATAACCCGCCAGCTGGATCAGAGAAGGAAGGAGACACCTGGGTGTTACGTGGG